CCTTTTCATTCGTATATAACGAATATTTGGATTAATTCTAAAAGAATATTAATATTATATGTTTGGTAATTGTGATATACGTTTATCAATTACTAACAATAAATGTATAAAATGATAAGTGTGATAACAGATGATGATAACAATACGCATATTCGCATTAAATACATTCTAGATTATAATCATAGCATTGATAAATTTATATATGATAGCAATTCTATTGTTAATATTCTAAGTGTATTTCGTAGCAATGCGAATTTTATTAATTAATTCCCATTAATAAATGCCTTATAAAATGATAATAATTCTATCAATAAAATCCGTTAATGTACTTAGGAGCAATGTTAATTTCGATAAATTTTTGCTTTTTTTTTGCTAAATTCTTTAATAAATATTTTATATGATGATAACAGTTACAGCAAACTCTTTCATTCTTTAAATATTCATATAATATTTGATCACCTGGCAGAGATAACACCACTGATAGCACATAGCATTAGGGATATTAATGATAGCACCAAATAAGCAACAAAGAGATTTACGGTACAGCGTTTTGCAGCTGCGATACCAACTAAAGCATTCATTACAAATATGATTGATGTCCAAATCGCGGAATAGTATGGACAGTATTCGGGTGAATCATATAAGCACCAAATACCACCAGCTAACATGAAAGCTGAAATTGTTTTATTTTAATTTGCTTTTTTCTTTTTAAAATTTACTCAACAAATAAGTTCAATCACATATTTGAAATTTTATTTGTTAAATAATTAAAGCACATATAAATTTGCGTAAAACTAATGCAACTTCTTTTTCTTTTTCTTTCTTTTTCTTTTTTTTTTTTTTTTTTTTTTATTCATCCACTTAATTTTGTAGCATTTTTCAAATTTTTTGGTGTAACACATTTATTGATGGATGATGATATGATAAAAATAATAGAAAGAATAGTATTTCAAAAAAGTTGAAGTCATTAAAATTGAGTTTATAATTTCTAGTCATTAAAGAGATTTTTTCTCTTAATTATTTGATAAACAATTATAATTTATATTCCATCAAAAGCTCAGGACTTCAAAGATATCGAGAAGTGGTAGATTTCAATTTGCTAAATTAACTGTCATCATTCATTGTTACAAAACGATATACAAATTGAATTTTACAAAAAAATTTATCATTTAAATATAATTTAAAAAAAAAAACACATATTTTCTACAAATTTCATAATATTTAGGGTAATTTTTCAAATGAAATAAGTGATGGTGTTTTTTT